AAATGAAAAGAAAGAAATTTAACTTCTAAAATCCGAAACCTAAGTCAATTAAATAAAAAAAAACTAAATTACATATGAATAGGTCAATTCATAGTAATTCAAAAAACTTCCATTTGGATTTAGAGTGAATTAACATACCACTTAATGCAAGAAAATATTTTGAGTAGAAAGTGCAGAAAAAAATTAAATCTGAACTTGGGGGGAGGGTATAGCTCAAGTGGTAAAGCGCATGCTTGACATACACAAGGTCCCAGGTTCAATCCCCAGTACCTTTTACAAATAGAAATAAATGAATAAACCAAGTTATCACTCCCTCATAAAAAAGAAAACAAGCAAAAATTAAATCTAAATCATGTCACAAGTGACCTAGAGTAAATTAAAGAAAAAATTAAAACATTAGAAAATAATTTATTCTCTTAAGTACAAAAAAAGCAAATTTTGACACTATATTTACTTTAAAGATTCTGAGGTGCCACATCATTAATATTCTCTATAAACTTAGATTTTTCCATTTGTGTTAAGTTTTCTAAAAGAAAGATTGTTGCTAGGTATTTACTAACTGTTTAAGTAATAATTAACCTCAATTTTTTTCGGGGGGGCTAGTCCAAAATAACTTACACATTTTATTTAAATAGAAATAGCATTAAAACTGACTTCTACATATGTGTTTTTGTGTTTTAAATCATGTTTAGACATTATGAAAAATACTTTTACCTGTTTTAAACAGTTTCAGCAAAAAATTTTATTTTAATAATAACCTCTAAACTCTATCAAAAGCAGGTTATTAAAAATGTATTGGCCAGTAAAGGAACAATTTACAGAAAGCCTACGTGAATATGTTAAACAGCTAAATTCCTTGTAAAGAAGGGAAATGTCTGCATTCCTTTAAAATCTGGAAAATTTTATTTTTTTTAATTAGAAAAAGGTGTTGCTAACAGAAACTATACTTACACTACTATGAACTCTCTTTTCTAAAATTTGTAGCATAAGAAGTAAGAGAGGATAAAACACCTGGTGGTAATGACCAGGGGCCAGTGGGGGAAAAGCAGCTTGGAAAGATTCAACTCCAACATGGCTTAAAGATCAGATATGGTTTAACTCAATCTCAACTGGCCTGAGATTAAAGCCAGAGTTAAGAATAAACTGTGAGTAAAAGGAGTTTAGTATCAGCATGAAGGCTGTTAAATTGTTTCTAGTTTACCTACTTTAACACTTTGAATTATATGCTAAATTCTTTAATAAAATCAATATAAATTAAAATGATTAGAAAATTAAGATAGAATGCATTTAAAGCATGTTATTTTTCTCTCAGTCATATCAATTTTTGGTCTGGGGGATTAAAACCTAAATGTCCTACTCACTAGATAGCAGTTACTCTAATCTCTAATCTCATGTTAGACTTAAAAACTTTACATCTAAAAACAATAATAGCAAATGAGTAAAAAATGAATGCCCTGAACACAAGATAAAGGCTAACATCTCTATAGACTCTAAATACCTTCTTGGTTTGTTATTTTTTACCACATGTTCAGGTGTCCCAGAGCTTATGGGCTGTTTACTGCAAAATCACTACCTAGGGATGTATGAAGAAATAGAAAGATGAATTCAAACAGTGTTACACAGTTCAGTCAGGAAAAAGAAGCTGAATTTCAGGTCCATCTGTAATACATGAACTGAAAGAAGAAATTTAGCCTCAAGGAGAGTCTCAAGGCCTTCCATCACCAAAAAGAACATGAGGGCAGCAAGGTACCAGCAGCCTACATTTGGAGCCCCTTTTAATATTCTGGGGACAGAACTTGTGCTATTCAACCACACACCCTCTACTTCTGGCCTCACATTACATGAAAAGCTTTTATTCACCAATTCTTTATCTACCATTTGACATAGGGAGTTTGTGCCAAAGTAAAAGGGGAAAAAGAAAAAAAGAGTACAGAATGTTTTACAAGTTTAAAGAGACAAACTCAGGATTTGTTTAAAGTATGTAAAGAAGCAGCTTTGGTTATTCTAGACCTTGCAAATAAATATTTCCCATGGAAGCTTTGGTGACAGAACATCACCAGTGAATGAGTGTCTATCTGAAATAGCAGAAGAAAGAGTCATACATACGTCTTTAGGACCAGACCTTTCCACTAGGCTCATAAATTTTGTAAAATGTGTTTTTGATTTTGTAGTAAAGGTATTATTTTTATATTTGAGTATATTTTAACTTGACCAACAAGAAATACATTTTTTTAAACTATTACCTTCATTGACTTTTTCAGGATGCCAACCTGTTGTCCAACCCAGGGAAAATGTCACATCTGGAAAGAAGGATGTCACAGTGTCTATAAAAGGTTTTGCATCCACTACTCTGCTATTACCATTTGGACCAGGAAGAATATCTGCATTAATCCACACAGGACGCTTCAGATGCCTCTTCACATTTTCCAAGAGCATCATGGATGGTTCTACAGCTGCTAGACTAAAAACAGTTTGTTGTCAATGAGATATATTCCTAAAGTAAAAGTAAAAAGAAGTTCTTTTAGACTAGTGGCTTTAATGTTCTCAAATTCATAATAAAAGTATAATACAATAATGCATGAGTTAAATAAAATCAAAGATCACATAGTACCAGAGGGGAAAATTAACATCTTAAAATGTTGATTTATACTTATTATTCATGAAAGTACTTTAAAGGTTCTATAAATGTCACTACTTGAGGATAGATAAAAATTTCAAAACTCTGTGTTAGAATCACTCAGTAGAAAAACAATTTAAGAAAAGACAGGATTATTCACACATCAGAGAATGTATAAACAAGATTTAAAAGTTAAATATACTCATATCCTGCAAATTCACATTTATGAAAATAGCCAAAGTGGCTTGTGACCTTGGAGAGAAGAGCCTCTTTTCCTTCATGTATTCTTGGGTGAGTCTGAATGCACAAACACATTTCTAAAACTGACGGCAAAGTGTAAAATTATAATATTTCCTTAAAGCTTTTATAAACTTTTTTTTTCCTTTATTGTAAACACCTTTCCTGGAAACTAGAGACAACTATATTTTGGTTACTTTTAAATTAAAAAGCAGCTTCACTCTTTTTACTTCCCTACATCTTTTCTGACACCTACAGATTTTTAAACACTATGGTTTTTACTCAGTCTATATAATTTTTACTTTTTAAAAATATACACATAAACTTTACTGGAAAAGTATACTACTTATAATTCTGAATCTTTTCTGAACCTTTAAGGCCTATGTTCATTTTTTTAAAAAAATTAGCTTTGAGTGAATCCCATGATTGGAGGCTAAGAATCTGGGAGGTGGATGTTGGAAGGGAGAACGCTCGGCACCCTCCCCTTATTTCCATTCCTCCTCTTAATGGACTGGGATCCTTCTGCCTGTGTTTCCACCACTCTTCACTTAACTTCTTTTGGGCTCCTACCATAACAGCAGAAACTGATCACCTCAATATTTATAGAGTCACATTAGAGAGCAAAGACACTGTTCATTAAAACCAGAGGAAACCAGCCTCCAGCCTCTCTTTCACTCTGCTTCTTAAGAAACCAGAATCCTTTCTGGAAACGAATAGGTCTTTTTGTTTCTTTTTTCTCACTTTTATGCTCCTGAAATGGAGGCCCTAGATATTAGCGGGTTAATAAACTCAAACAGTAGACCTCATAGACTCTAATTTAGATGTTGTCATTTTTCTGTCTCAAAGGCTTTCTGCCTTGAACAGCATCAATGCCATGTTAAAAACCACAATTCTGAGATCTGGTCGACTGCATTTCCTCCAAAATTCCCCCACTTCTAGTAACAAACAACTTGTACCTATAATACTCCAAAGCTGGCTTGTCTGCAAGTCCCACAGCAGCACAAGTCCCTGTGGGGTTCTGCTCTTCATGGGTGGAGCAGGAGGAAACCTTGAACCAATCTACACATGTCTGCAGCTGACCTCTTCATTTCCAGAAGGGACTCTGATTTCTTAAGAAATCTGGTGTCTGTGGCAGTTGGGTTAAACATGAATTTCCAGTTTATACTCAGGAGGAAGCGTCTCAGTCTTTCTCAATTTAGTAAGCTGACAGAGAGCCGTTTTCAATGGTTTGCCATCTGACAATATCCAGTCTAATAGTGTATTCTCCCCAAAATTGAAATTCCACCAGCATATATTAAGTACTATAAAGCACTACACAGTTAAACATAAGGCACTAAGACAAAGAACATAATAAAATAAGAATTTAATATAGATATTCTGTATTTTATATACATATTTTAATTTTCACTAATATATAGTAGTGCCACTTTCTCTTACCAGAAATTCAAATAAAAAGCAAAATCTACATTAAGAAAAACATAAAATCTTACTAAGGAAAAAACAACATTTTGTTGTAGTTTTAATTTTCTAGAACTTGATGAAATAATTGTAAAATTCCTCTGGAAGAGCAAATGTAAATAAAATTAAAAAAAAAAAAAGACTGAGGATGAACTTCGCCTATGCGCAAAATAGAACCTTTACTACAAAGAATAACATAGTATATTCCTAGCCTGGAAGACTCAATATTGTAAATATTGCAAAATGACACTTCCCTCCCAATTAATCTATAAATTCCATGTAATTCTAATTAAAAATACCAGTGGCAAACATTTTCAATTCTTACATATATTAGTATTATAAAGGATTATAATTAGTATCATAAAGGATTGACAAAAGGTTTGCCAAGATGATCTTCTGAGGAGGGAGGTCCTGATTAGAACACTATCTAAAATTTCTTTTTGGTAGTACTTATTTAGGAAATTCTAGGAAAGAAAGAATATAAACTTAGTTTTTATAGAATTGGGCTTTTTTTTTTTCCTAAAAAGTTACTTGTAAGTCAAACTTTTGAGTATCACATCTATTTTCCTATTAACTTCATTTCGGAATTGGGGATAAAATAAAAATCATACTTAAAATTACAATAAGCCATTTACAATTACGTTCTAAGGTAAAATTCCAGATAAAATTTTAAAATCACCATATATTACTAAGTTATTACTTGTATACAAACAAAATAACTTAGAGGCACAGAACAGGAACTATTAAAATTCGACTACAGGGTCACTCAGCTACCCTTACAGAGGTAGTACAGAGTTCTGGTTCAGCTCTCCTACAGATTATGTGACCACAAGCAGGCTACTTACCCGTCACTGCCTGTTTCCTTATCTGGAAAAATAAGGATAATAGGATTACCTACCTATTAGGATTGTTATGAGGATTAAATGAATTAACACAGTAATAAGTGTTTATATAACTGTTAGTTACATTCATTCCCCTTCAAATATGTTATGACCAAAAACCTGCAAAATCTTTTTTTAGTGGCTCAGCCTTTTAGCGGCAGCTGCTAGCAGTTAGGAATGAATGAGCTGATCTGACTGGTGAGGAGCCAAAGAATGTATTACGGAGAACAATTCAATGGGCGATAGTAAACATTAGAAAAACTGAACACATGAAAAGGCAGGGAGATCTAAAATGTTTCTCACCAGCATTAACACTCAAGTGGTTTATTCATGGAACAGAGAACACTGAACTGGCTGCAGGAAACCTGGAATCTGGTCCTAGCTCAGCTCCCAAGTGTAGCTGTTGTCACTTAACCTCCTTAGGACTAAGTTTCTTTGTCAATAAAATGGAGTTGGACCAATCACCATTCTAAAAGTTTCATTCACCAACGGTACAAAGAGGGTTACTGGTATATTTAACCTCACAACAAATGATTAGAGTCATCTTAAAAACACTATGAATTAAGATTTCCAAATCCTTATTAATTTCTTGAGATAATTCAATTTTAAAATACTGTTCAAAGATAAGGTAGATTTTTCAGTTATTGAAGAATTCTAGATAATTCCCCTTACACAAATATAAAAACACAATTCAAGTAGGAAATGCATTAACTATCCCAATTACTGCCAACTCTCTCTCAGACTACCTTTTAACAAAAATAGTATTTTAAATTTACTGTTCTATTATTATAGTGATAAATTTTATTATTATGATAAATCTCTTTCTAAAATTAACTTAATTTTAGCCTCAAAGGATTCCCAAGAAACAATTTTAGCAAACAATCAGTAGGTCTTAGGTCCATTCCTGAAATATATTAGTTTGTGATCCCATTTCCAGTTTAGATAAAGTATAAAGTTGGTTAGTCAGGCACAGATATATGAAACTACTGATCTTTTTTCCCCACTGTTATTCTGTAACAACTGGGAGACTGAACATGTTTGTACAAATACCTCTTGAAATCCAGCTTGATGCCTTTATTGCTTTTTATAACTTCAGCCAGCCATTCCTGTAAAGTATTATCGCTGTTTGTTTCAGGAGGATGGGCCATGATTGGCTGGCCATGTTCTGATCCATCACTTGGAAGAATGATATCAGCCTCTATCATATGAGCAGTACCTGTGTCCAAAAAGAAGAAGTTATGTTAATGTTAATAAAATATTTGGACTGCAGAAGTTAGCACGTCTAGTACCCTTTTAAAGAAGATACAAAGGAAAGAAAATAACATTTACTAAGTAATCGCTAAGTGCCAGGTACTATACCAGACCTTATATGTCGTCCTTATTTGTTACAGATAAGCAGACAGGTGATGAGGAGTTAAATACCTGTGCCTAAGTCACACGCTTAAGCTGTTGTCATAATATTTAACTTCCCAACACACAGCAAAGTGAGTATACAAATGGAGGCTTAAATATTTGTTGAAGTTTCTGAGAATAAAAATAGTACTTTTATCTTCTCATTCCTCAAATTAGAAACTACAGATGTTTATTGTTTACATTTGAAATTCTTTGTTACAGACTCAGTTTTTTGACCCAAGGCTTAGCTCATATTTAAAAACACACATTCCTGGAATGGATAACAAGTTTCACCAGTCACTTAGTGCTAACTGCTTAGCAGGCTGTGGTTGACTAACTCCAAAGATGGCTGAGAACAATTCCTCCCATATGTACATACCTCTCTTCTCATCTTTTTCTCCTCCCCTTGAGCCTGGACTGGTTTTGTGACTTGTTTTGACCAACATAAAGTAGTGGAAGTAAAACTGTCATTTCTAGGCCAGTTTGTAAAAGGCCTGGCAGGTTCTGCTTTTATCCTCTTGAAAGCCAGCTACAAAGTAAAGAAGTTGAGGCAAGACTACTGAAGACTCAGAAGCCACATGGAAGAATGCTAAATCTTCCTGCCTGACAGACAGCAGTAAGGACATGACATGTGAGTGAGGACATTTTAGAATTTCCAGGCCCAGCTGAGCTCCCAGTGAAATGCTGCAACATGAGTGTCCCCAGCCTAAACCACATGGAACAGAAAAACCACTAGGTAACTCACAAAATCATGAAAAATAATAAATCACTGTTAAACTAAGGCCACTAAGTATTGGGGGTAGTTTATTACTTAGCAATAGAAAACAAGCAGAAATAGTTACCTGGAAGTGGGGCACTGCCATAGGAAAGACCTGAAACATGTGACACTGGTTTTGGGATCTGATAGGTTCTAGAAAGGCAATGCTAATGGAAGTTGGAAGAGCAGTGAGGAAATTATTTTTACATAACACCGGCACTTGTAGCAACTGGTAGAAGATAGAGAGGGTACCTAATGAATATTTGGATTTGGCTAAGGAGGTTTCCAGGCAGAATGATGAAAGTGCCAATGGGCTTCTTTTAGTTGCTAAAGAAGAGAGAGGTATGTAGGTGAGCTGCCCGGCCTCTCTCCCTGTCCTCCCATCAGGCCCTTTGGTAGAAAGAAGACTGCTGAAGGTCAGGGCATGCTTCTGCTTCGAGACTGCCTGGTCACCATCTCAGAGAGAGCCAGAGGAGGAAGTCGGCAGATCAGGATATATAGCACCCTCAGTACAGGAGCCCCAGCTTGTGACAAACGCCAGACAACAGAAAACAGTTTTGTTTTCTCTTACTTTCTGCACAAGAAAATCCCAAATGGTTGCTATTTATACTCAAAAGAAAACTGAAAGAAATATCTTTATAGAAGTGAAGTTAAATTTATCTCTCTTGCCTATACTGTTTAATGCTCTAATGCAGACATTTATTAATTTTTATGAATACATTTAGTTAATGATGATAGTCACACTTTTCCTAAATATATTGCAAAGGCTTTTAAAATACCAGTTTTCATTCTCAGAGACTTAATGATATTTATTTTTTTAACCAGTATTTCTTTTAATAAACAGAAATGTTATAACAAAATTATATTAAATGTAATTACTTTTATAAACAATTTTGACTATTTTAAGATCAGATATGTTGACAATGCAATGCCAAGTGGTGTTTGTACATTGTTCC